ATTTCTATGATTCTACCTCATCTTTCATCAGACCCATCCGCTGAACACGTCCACTCCCAATTATCTGAATACGTTCCAACTCTCCTTACTCTCTCCCTCCAATCTGATATTCAATCTTTAATCACCTAATCTTTTTGTTTTCCTCATAACCATTACTCTTTCTGTATTCACCTTTAATTTTCTTCTTTTGCACACCCTACAAAAAAATCATCCACCAATCTTTCTGCCAGCTTCTCTCAGAAATCTCCCAGAGCACAGTGTCATCAGCAAAGAGCAGCTGTGACATCTCCACCCTGTGTGTGATTCTTTATCTTCAACTCCACGCATCTTGCCATGACCCTCGCATTTACTTATCTTACAACCCCCATCTATACAAATTTATTTTAAACAACCACGGTGACATCACACATCTTGTCTAAGGCATACTTTTAATGGGAAAAAATTTCCCTCTTTTTACATACTCTAAATTGAGCCTCCACTATCCTCGTAAAAACTCTTCACTGCTTTCAGTAAACTAACTCCTACACCATACAATTGCAACATCTGCAACATTTGCCCACTATCCACCCTGTCATACGCATTTTCCAAATCCATTAAATGCACACAAAGACTCTTTAGCCTTATCTAAATACTGGTCACTTATAGGTTTCACTGTAAACACCTGGTCCACACACACACCTACCTTCTCTAAAAGCCTCCTTGTTCATCTGCTATCCTATTCTCCATCTTACTCTAATTCTTTCAATTATAACTCTTACCATACACTTTACCAGGTACACTCAACAGACTGTTCCCCCTATAATTTTGCACTCTCTTTTATCCCTTTGGCTTTATACAAAAGGAAACCTATGCATGCTATCTGCCAATCCCTAGGTACCTTACCCTCTTCATACTTTATAAAATAATTTGCACCAACCACTCCAAAACTATATCCCCACTGCTTTTATCATTTCTATCTTTATCCCATCAATCCCGGCTGCCTTACCCCCTTTCATTTTACTACTGCCTCACGTGAACTTTCCCCTCACTCACAATGGCTCTTTCCTCACTCCTCAGATGTTATTCCTCCCCCCCCCCCCCCCCCCCCTCCCCATTGCCCTATACACGAAATACTGCTTCCCTAATCTTCATCAACATTTAACAATTCCTCAAATATTCCTTCATCTTCCCAATACCTTGACTCTCAATTTAATAACTCTACTCTCCTATTTTTAAATGACAAATCATTTGTTCTCTAGGCTTTCTTAAACTTGTTAATTCACTCCAAAACTTTTTCTTATTTTCAACAAAATTTGTTGATAAATCTCCACCCCATCTCTCATTTGCTCTCTTTTTACATTGCTCTCCACTCTCTTAACTGCTCTCTTTTTCTCATATACTCTTCCCTCCTTGCATCACTTCTACTTTGTAAAAAACTTTATATGCTAAACTTTTTCTTCCTTACTACTCTCTTTATTCATCATTCCACCAATCGTCCTCTTCCCTCCATGCACACACTTTCCTGTAACCACAAACTTCTGTGAAAACTCTATACCACTACATTTTTAACTACACCCATACCTCTCGACCCCATTGCCTATGCTCTCATTAGCCCATCTATCTCCAATAGTGTTTATATCTTACCTACTGCTCCTCTTTTAGTTTATAAAACCTTCACCTCTTCCTTCCTGATGCTTCTATTCTCCTTGTATACCATCTTCCTTTTACTCTCAGTGTTAGCTACAATCTAGAAAGTGATCTGATATATCTGTGGCCCTCTATAAACATGTACATCCTGAAGTCTATCAACAGTCTTTTTTCTACCAATACATAATCCAACAAACTACTGTCATTCGCCCTACACTTATCGTGATATACTTATTTATCCTATTTTTTTAAATATGTTTTACCTTTAAACTAAAACCCCTTCTATACATAGTTCAATCAAAGGGCTCCCATTATATTTACACCTGGCAACCCAACTTACCTAACTCACCCTTCTCTAAAAGTTTCTCCTAACTTTAGAATTCAGTACCCTACTCACATTTACTCTCTCACTTGGTTCAAAGGCTCCTATAATTCATTAACATCTACCAAAATCTCTCTCTTCTCCTCTGCATTCATCTCTTCTCAGGTGGCATACACGCTTATTATGACCCACTTCTACACATCCCAACCTGTACTTTAATCCACATAATTCTTGAATATACACATTCATATTCTCTTTTTTCTCCTTCCATAACTGATCATTTAACATACTGCTCCCCTTCCTTTGCTCTAACTCTATAGATACTCAAGATTTAATCCCATTTATTTCCACCCACTGAAACTCTCCTACCCCTTCAGCTTTGTTTCGCTTAGGGCCAGGACATCCAACTTCTTTTCATTCATAAACATCAGCAATCATCATGTTTCTTGTCATCGCCCACTTCATCACGCACATTTAAGCATCCCTGTTTTATAAAGTTTTTATTCTTATCTTTTTATAATTGTTTACAGGAGAAGGGGGTACTAGCCATTGCTCCCGGCATATTAGTCGCATCTACGACACGCATGGCTTTCGGAGGAAAAGATTCTTTTCCACTTCCATGGACAATAGAAGAAAAAAAAAAGAACAAGAGCTATTTAGAAAAAAAAAATAAATAAAAAGGGTGAAAAAACCTAGTTGTATGTATATATTTATATGCATGTGTCGTGTATGTGAACGTGTGACCAATGTTGTAAGATAGGAGTAGCCAGATATCCCTGTTATCTTAGCGTGTTTTATGAGACAGAAAAGGAAACCAGGCAATCCTACCATCATGCAAAACAGTTACAGGTTTTTGTTTCACAGTCATCTGGCAGGACGGTAGTACTTCCCTGGGT